GAGGGAGGGAGGAGGGGGAAGGAGAAGGGAAGGAAGTTTGTGATCACTGCTATACAGGAAGCAAACCAGATGCTCTGGTAACAAGGTCCACCGACTGGTGACCAAAGATGAGAGAGTCAGGGGTCATTTTTTCCCTCTCATCTGTTCCACTCCCCTCTACGCTGTGAATTTTGGTGTCATTGTACGTATGATTTAATACAATGTCCATTATTGTTTGAAGACGCAGAAAATGGCTCTTGCCCTGGTTTCCCACTGATGAGACAGAATGTGATTTAGGATAGGTTCTGCTGCTATTCTTGTTGGTCTACATTTATTTCACAAACATTTATTATGAACCTTAAAGAAAGGTAAATGGGGTGAAGGGCTCATGGTACCAGACAGGAGAGCCAGCGAAGGCTCTCAGAGGTCGCGCCTGAAGGACGAGAGAGCCAACCACGTGTGGGGACAGGAAGAGGAGGGTACAAGGAAGAAGAGACAGCAAGGTCCCTGAGGGGGCGGGAGTCACCCCTTCGAGGCTAGTCACCCCATCATCCTCAAGATGTCCACTGCGGCCGGAGCAGAGTGTGTGAGGGACCGTGAGCCAGGGCCAGGCCACAGGGGGCCTTGCGACCATGGGGAGAGTGTGGAGCTCACGGCGAGGGTTGGGATGGAAACACTACACTGATCCGCTGTCCACACAAGGGAATCAAGGCCACAAGCGAGGGGGGGATTATTCAAACGAAAGCGTCTTGAGACGAGGGAAGGGTCTCTGCCAGCCTGCAGGTGAGCTGCCTGAGAGAAGGGAAGGAAAGGAGGAAAGGGGGGACGCCAAGGGAAGATGGGTGTGAAGGGGGAGAAAGGGGTCGACAGTGGCTACACTGACAAGAGGACTGAAAATGCCCACAGGGTGTTAGCTCCACTGCAGTCGCTGGGGACCTCGGCAAGACTTGTTTTACATTTCCCAGAAAAATCAAAACAAAGGCCAAAAAGCATATGCTACGGGAACAGTATTTGATTGTTAGCATTTTGCAAGAGGATGATATTAAATTGTTAGATCTTTACGGACGGACACTCCTCTAATTTGGTGAGCATGAGTGCGCCTGTTTAGGTATGTCCATATTCATACCCATATCCTCTGGAAGAGTAACCTTAACATTCCGCTAGGAGGCATAACAACACAAAAGTGTGATGCAAGCACAATTTATCTCTAAATTAAATGCTAAAGATCTGCAAGGCTATCATTAGGATAATACTTTTAAGACAACAGGAATTTGCTTTATGAAACTGGATTGCCCAAAATTCCATGAAAATAGATCTTGCTCTACGAAAGCACTTACAAAAACATTGCCAGAACGGGGCAGGAAAACAACAGCATTGCCACTAGCATCCCTTGCAAGCTCAATGTTTACTCCAAATTAGAGGAGCATCTGTCTGTAAAGATCTAACAATCCAATACCTGGCCCCACCCTGTCCATCGAACCTCTGGTTTTCATTTGCTCCTCAACAAGAATCCCCCTTTCTGTGCAAGTCATGCATCCGCACCAACACTCTACCAATAATACATGCTTCCTACTCTTCCTAACTGCAGACACTTGCCCCCGATGTCCTTCCCAGAAAGTTCCTCCTGTCCTTCGTTGTCAAGCCGGGCGCATCGCACGTGGTGTTTAATAAGCTAGATGAACTGGGTTTAAGGGTTATAAGATACCTTCTCTCTTCCATAAAACATCCAGTCCACAGTGATCATTCCACTTGCTACACTTCTGTAGGAATTTCAGTCAAATGCATGAAATATCTGAGTATAAATAATACCTGGAAAATGTACTTGTGGAACCATCTTTAAAAGATAGTAAGACTACTTTATAAACCATTGCCCACTTAATCTAGATGAGATTACATTATGAATGTTTGTTAAGGATAACATTTTGTGAATATAATATCAACTGATATAATATACATACTTGTTAAACATGGAAAGCAAATGCTAAAGAAAGGCTATTACTCCTATGAGACCATATTCTTACGTAGCAAAGGCAGCTCTCCGGGTGCCAGCAATGGTCCCTTGACAGGGGAGGGCTGCACCCTGGCCAGCCTTCTTCCTCTTCTTGTTCTCACTCGAGGATACTTTTACTAATTTCAAAGATGAGAAGGGAAGGCAGAAAGAGAGAGAGATTGCCTCCCCACCGGGATCAAACGTATGTTCCCTGGCCAGGAACTGAACCGGCAACCCTTTGGTGCACAGGCCAATGCGCTGACCAACTGAGCCACACCAGCCAGGGCCTAGCCAGCCTTCTTTAAACAACAGCTAAGTGGGTGATCTAAGTACACGCACCCCTGCTACACAGAATAGTCCCCTCTCTCTTATTGGGGATAAGAGTTTATTATCAGAATGTAGGACTGATTTCAATAGGTAATTTATCTATTGCTATTTAGGTTTTATGCTACATAGTTACTCTCAGAAACAACGACTGAAAACTCACTATATGCAAAGACCACAGAAGGAAAAATTAGGCAACAAGGGGTCTGCCCATCAGCCGTGTGAGACCCGGCAAGACAGATGCCTCTCTGAGCACCAATTCTCTCATTAGCCAATGATGATGCCTCCCTGCCTATTTCATAAGGCTGCTCAGAAAATTAAATGAAATAACGTCTGAAAATGTACTCATGAAGAGATACACAACAAAACACTTTGAGAGGGACTGAGTAATTTAAATTTCTTGCCACAAAGAAAGGACTCAGGCTAAAATATTGATTACACTTATACTTATTCATTATATTTAAATATACAACTTTTAAAAATATATATTCAACCATCAAAGATGCTGTAATCTAAATGGAAATGGAGACACACACCAATGTATATACACAGCTTTGGAGAAGAAGCATTTTTAAAAAAGGACCAGGGTCTTGGATTCAAACACTAGCATCTGGATAAACACAACTAGAAGCGAAAATAACACCACGAAAAAAATTAAAGGCAGCAAATCCCTTTCTCCCTTATTATTCTAATTCAAAACAGCCTGGTAAGAGAGAATGAAAAATTATATTTCCTCCTGAAAGGCCTGCCCCAATTAAAATGCTGAATGTCTCTTACACCAAGAGCACTGGTTTATTGGCAGATTATTAAGCCCTGGACCAATGTCACTCTGTTAGACCTGTATTAAAACCGTGGTTTATGTGGTGCAGGGTCAGATCAGTAAAGAGCTGTTAGCAGATGACAGGTTTGATTACCACTGGCTGCAGGCAAGACGTATGGATCCCTGAGGAACAGCAGCACCGGCTGGTGGGACAGTTTGCTGGAAAGGTCAAGAACAGGCATGTCAGCATCAGGGGGCGACGGTAAACAGAAAACACTACAAACTAGCTTTGAGGGGATCAAACTGCTGTGCAGGGACGTCTCAAGGTTTATGTATTTAACAGTGTGGGCAAATAACAGCAAGCACAGTTAGAGGGAACAGGCCAGCACGATGCTCCCCTTCCCAAGATTTCTTTGTGGAATTTGGAGCAGATATACTAATCTATACAATAAATCACTGCTGAAAAGGGTTTTCTTTAAAATCTTGTAGTATGATTATTAATAAAAATAGTATTCTTATTTATTTGTATGTCATACTGTAGGGCTCTGATTCCTTCATTCCTAGATGGAACTGGTTACTTCCGTAACTTCCTATCAAATATTTATCATCTTAAAATCAATTTCCTATTAAAGGTTTTCAAGAAAATTATGACTTGAAACACTTATACTATGGTAATTAGACATTTAACAAAATCAGTCCTTTTCTTGACTTATATGGTATAATTCCTGAGCAGTGATGATTAGTTCTTACCTTGACTCTTCAGATTCTGTCTCTTCAAAAGACCTAAATTTTTTTTAAAGAAAAAGAAAAAGACTATGTAAGTTGGATCAATGCTGATGCCAACAAAGGAAAAAATAGGCAGTATTCCTAAAGTGCTGAGCTAGGAGACATTATGGAAAGAGAGTCAGGTGTTTACATGGAGGCAACACATGGCTGATGCCTCATTCTAAGGAATCTTAAAGACTACAATACTCTTGAATTTCAACTTTCCCGAAGATCACTTAAAAATCCTATAGTTTTACTTCTGGATGTATACAATGGAGAAAAGCTTTCACTCGACATTTCTTTTTAAAAATACACAACTGCATATGAATTCCACCCTCCCAGTTAAATAATGCATGCAAACTGGAACAGGATACACTGACGATGCACATTACTTGTGGAGCAGGGGTTATCATTGAGTGGAAAGGGGCCCTGAGTAAATACTCCCTGCGAGGGAGCTGGGAGAAGTAATTGCAATCTCCTGCTCTGCTGGGTTTAACAGGACTTTGGGTGTGGTTAGCTTGAATGTCGTGTAGTTAGTGCGGGTCCTTCAGGCAGGTCTGGAGGCAGCAAGAAAACGGATAAAGTCATCTTCCTGGCTTGGATTTACAGAGTGTGAGATGAGGTATTGCTTTGTAAATGGATTTAGTATGTCAGGAATGTTGCTGATGACCTTTGGTGACCAGCCCAACACAAGTGAGGTGCCTAGAGCTGAGCAAGTGGCTTATTTCCAAGTTAATTCTTCAGAAAATTTTTTACCAGTGGCTGATGATATCAAATGCCTGGTTCCTTGGTAAACTGGATCAGAGTCTACAGTCTGGCCTTAGAGGTTCCTGAGGGAGAGGCAGCAGGCGAGTGGGGAAGGAGAGCCAGAAGGCCTGGGCTCGGCCAGCTACCGGGAGAGAGATCTGGAAAAGCCACTTAATCCCTGTGTCTCAGTTTGCTCAACTCTAAATGAAAGGGAATTGGGTAAATTCATCTCTAAGGTCATTTATAACTATAAAATTATATGAATATATATGTCAAGGGGATACAGACTTTGCTCAAGTGTGCACAAATAAACATATTAGTCCCAAAACAGGATATCTAGGTTCATAATTTCCATCATGTAACATCGCTCCATGTAATAGCATAATTTAAAAAGTCAGTTCCTTAAGTCTAAACCTGGGTTACTTAGTGTTGGTTACTGGGCCGCAATATGGGGATGAGGGCTCAGGAGAAATTCCTTCGACGACAAGCAGGGGGCGAGCGAGAGTGCTGTCCCAAGCAAAGAATGGTGCGGCCAGGCTGCCCCTTCTGTAGGGCACCACTGTAGGGTATTTGTTATATCCTACAATATGTGACTGAAGAGTAAGGTAGGATTCACGCACACTGAGTAAACAGCAACACTTACCCACAACTCTCTGCCTTTGGTAGAGACGGCAAGTGCCGGATGTTTAGGAAATCAAGAAACAGTTTGGGAAGTTCTTCATTTTCTAAAATGACAGCCTGTGAAAGCAGAGAGCAGATTTAGAAAATAAAGTTTGCTAGGCAATCAATCAAATAAACTATTTCAAAAAGTCATAACCATCCATCAAAGTTCTTACCAGCATCATTCCTCACCATCAATATGAGGCGTGATCCCCATTTCACCCGCCAAGAATTCAGGCCCACACGTGCTACTCAGTGTAGGCACATGCTCCGTTTTATCTATTCTTTCACCCAAATAGCATTCTCGGAGCATCTACTATTCAGATGCTGATAAAGGGGCAACACAGTGGGACACCAGGTAGACACAGCTCTTGCCTTCGTGGGGATTCTAATCCAGGGCGAGCATTTCAAAAACCTGGGAACAGCAACAACAGTGCCACAATCTGTACAGTAAACTTCCCTTACTGAGTGATAAGGTGGCCTGGTGTGTGTGCGCGCGTGTGTGTGTTCTACAAGAGACCACTGCTGTGTAGGAAATATTAGACATGGGGTTTTTTACTGGAAGATTTAGTCAAGATCCCTCAGTTATCACCTGTTTCCGCATTAGGAGCAGCTGACATTTATTGCTATTTGGACAGCTCCACTTAAAGCGTCAGTAACAACTTTACCACTAAGTGTAAATCAGCGTATATGCTGAAAAAAAATCTATACAGTTGTTCCATTTATAGAGGTCTGCTAAGGAGCGGGCATAATGGCATAACCATGTCAGGTTCTCAGGTGCCCAAATGATGCAATTTCAAAGAGAAGTGTAATGGAGAACTATGGAGTGCATTTTCATACATATCTATTTTTCAAAGAGTCGGCCAGAGGGTGTGAACTGACTGCACATTTGCCCCTCCCTCCTTTTTTGCAAAGACCATGAAAAAAGCATCAAATAATGAAATTGATCTCTGAAATGAATGTAACTCTTTTCAAGGGTCATTTCCATAATCTACCACGGCTGTTTCCCCCCAGTAAGCACGTGTGTTTAAAGAACAACGAAAAAAATGGTGAAATATCATTCACACGGCTGATCAGGTCCAGCTCTGCAAGGTTACGCATAAGGTGCGTAACAAATGACAAAAGTAAGGTTGAACTATGTGCATCTTGTAGAGGCATAATTCTAGAGAATGTACTGTTTTTAGCCATAATTTACATACTGAGCTGCCCCGTTTCTTGCAGGGTTTTGGAATACTGTTGCCCAGTTCAGGACATATAAATGGAGTGAGCCACTGTGTGGGTGGCCAGTCCTGGCGGGTGACCTCTGTACCACACTAGTGCTCGGCCCTCCTGCTGCTGGGTCCCTGGAGAGGGTGGTCATCTCGAGAGCCAGTCCTGTCTGGGCCATTACTATTCCTCACACAGGCCACTGTACCCACTGAAACTTGAGGAATAAACAAAAGAAACAAAGAAACATACTTGGGGTTACACTTTACCTATTAAGTAAATAAATAGCATCCATTATGTTACGCACTGGGATATGGCAGTGAATACAACAGTCTAGTAGAGTGTGGGCTGGTGGGGAAAACTAGTGATAAACAAGTAAACAAAACACACACAACCTAAACGTGCCTTGGAAGGCAGTGAAATGGAATTGAAAAACACTACCACTCTCTAAACGTTTTCCCATCCACCCACCTACCCTTCCATATATCTAAAATATTTACTCTTTTCTTGATTATAAAAGTAGAAAATGAAACATTCGTAAAATAGAGAAAAAAAATTCCTCTATCCAGCAGCATATTTTCATTACTGTTTCAGTTCATTTCCTTCAAATCGCTTGACCTTCATCTGGATTTTCATCTATCTGAGGAAATTTTGGGGGTGCTCAGAACTCTAGGTTCTAGGAATCATCATCCATATGAAGCTCCAAGGAATTTTTGCCACAATACAAGTTGCAATGATTACCTGCTTGTTTCTAGATATCAGATTAAGAGAATAACATAATACGTATTTGAATAAGAAAGCTTAATGTTGTAAGAAATACAGCCCAAGCGATAGTTTTAATTATGTATACAAGTGGTAGCTTTCAGATTTTTTTTTTAAATGGGGGGGGTGTAACATTCTTATCTCCACCCCCACCTTTTAAAATAAATTAAATCGATAACAAGTGTGGGACACTTTTAATGACCTGAACTACTTAATTTCCAGGATCTTTAGACATGTCATCCATCACTGCAGTATGGAGGAAGACATCTCTTGAGTGTTCAGGGGGTTACTTTGGTTTTATTAATGCAAGATTTAGGGAATTTTAACAAGGTGAATTGTTTATTTGCCTTGACAGATTGGCTTACAATGCACTGGCTACATCTCCAGCATGATCATTAATGACAAAAGACAGGCAAAAAGCTGTTTACACTGCAACACCAGGATGGGAATTAATCCCGCTCAGCCTCCCAAAACAGAGTATTCCAAATAGACGACGGCATTGTTTTAGGTAAGATATATTGGTAAAAAAAAAACAACACAAAAAAAAGGAATATAGAAAACTCCAGAAATCTGTGAGCATTTCTGTTGAATGTTCACTGACTATGCTCACACAGTATTTTCCACAAAGCAAGGACCAATATGGATTTACAGCTATCAACAAAGCGGCATTGAGGGGTAGTTATTAAGCATTCAGTGACATGGCAGGAGTATTTCTTAAACTCTGCTAAGAAGGCTTAGAAGAAAGTAATTAATACTTAAGCCCAAGCAGAGGCGGAGTATAATACAGTAGAATGTACCTAATTTAATATGATAAGTATCAGTGAATGACTGTCATGAATTAGTAGAGGGATGCAAAAGAGAAATTGAGTTAGTTCAACCAAAACTTTTGGTTCGTAAATACGTAGTCTCGTTCAACGAGAGACCCAGGAGTAAAGTGGGGGCTCAAGACCATCCATTTACAGCTGCAGTTTCCTTTAAAGCTTTTGCACAAGAAGAACCACTCCTTCCAGAAGCTACACGCTGGGCCCCCATGCTTGGGACTGCAGTCTGGTCTAAGTCACCCAACTTTACTCGATAGATAAGCTCTTAATTTAAAAAATATATATAATTTTCAATATCAAATCACATTTCCCCGCTGTTTCAGCTTGCTTCTCTTTGTGATTAATCTTCAACGGGCAGTCACTGTCATGCTTCAGAGAGGCAGGGTGGGGTGGCAGGAAGCACGCAGCCTAAGAGCAAGCCCTGGGTTCGAACATCTCCTCCCCCGTAGAGGGTTACTGGGAAGACTGAATGACGTCTCCAAGAGTCTCTGGCACACAATTAACACTCATAAGTGTGAATTCCTTTTTGTTGTCTCAGTGCCCACCAATGCATTTTATCGGGTTTGGAAGTTTAGATTATTGTCCATCTAGCAAACGGAGCTTCTCGGCCCTCAGTGATTCATGGATCCCTTTGAAAATCGGATGAAAGCTGAGAATCTTGCTTGCTGAAGAATGCACATACATATATAACTGTGCTGACAGCGACAGAGGGTTCCCAGGGCCCTGGCAGCCCCACCGAGGACACCCGCTTTTAGCTCCCATGTGGCTGCAGTGCTGCTGGGCACACTTGCCATTCGGTCCGGAGCCTGCAGCACTGCTGGGCCTGTGCGGCAGGCCAGCTCCCCAAAGGACACGCTGCCTTCTTGTTTTAGTTTCCTCCCCCTTTGTCGATTAGAACCCCTCCTGAGTGTGTGCCCTGCTACTAGAACTCATTAGCTCTTTCAGCTCTGAGCTCTGGTTGAATATATTTGTCTGCCAGTGAGGACACGCTGGTGAAGGATTCTGTCTGAAAGGCAAAAGTCTACTGCTGCACCGAATGCAGAAAGCAGTTCATACTCATGGGCGGAGTCTTCTCTATGTAACTCCAGACTTCGACAATCTGTGGTGCGGAGGAGGGTTCCCAAAGTTAGTAGAACAGAAAGGAAAATATGCTTTAAGCTCTATTACTGCTGGGTCCGAGTTCAGGTGATGAGGTGCTATACTACCCCTGTTTTGAGAGGGGCATCGTGAACTGCTGGGCAGTGATGGGGCCCAGGCCCGGGGCTACCGAATTATTTAACTAATACCTGATGGCAGCGTTCGGACACTGCAGGCAAGCCGGGAGGCATGAGTGGGCAACTGATGTATGCAGCGGACCATCGGATTTCAAAACGAGCATGACCAGTTGGAGAAAAAGTTGGAAATAAATCCCATGAAATTAAAATTTACAGGTGGAAGTACTGAATCCAATAGTATATGAGGCAGAATTAATTATCCAGACTCAAGACGGAGAGTAGCTGTGGGTCAGCAAGGACTGCTGCTTCCACACGCTGTAAAGGGAGCCGAGCAGTCCCCTCACTCCAGTGAAAGCAGTATTATCTCCTTCCAGAGGCTGAGGTCACCCAGCAGGGGGTGCCAAGCAGGGAATGAGGCAGGGGAGGGCCAAGGAGACAGGTGGTCTTTAAGTTAACTACCTGTTCTGTCAAGGAGGGTGATGATTTTCAAAGCTGCTGGAACAAGAAGAAAGTACTGTCCAAACCAGCAGAGGAGGGGTCTGTCTCTAAGGGAAGCCAGTGCGATAAAACTAGCAAAAGGGGCACCTGTATGGGAAGAGCAGGCGTCGTAAGAGCTTCTAAATATCCTGGGCGCCGAATGTTTTTAGTTGCTCTTTCAGACACATGCAAACTGGAGACGCTATAGAATTAACAGAAAAACTCCCTAAAGAAATTCCTGTCTAATTTATCACTTAGGAAGTATGCAGACTAAAATCAGATTATTATTAAGATGCACATAGGGAACAGGGTTAAAACAAAGAGCTGTACCAAGTGTGTGATATACTATGTAACAGACTTTGCTACTACTATATCCAACTCTGGTAAATATTAATATTGGGTAACCCAGCGTACCTGGTAAGAAGCAAAATAATAACAATAACAATATTATTATTCTTTACACAATGTTACTCATTTTCAGAAGAATACATGACTTTCCTTAAAATAAACCAGATATTCCTTCAGAAATATCACTCTAGAAGAAGAGGAAAAAATTCTCATACTCTACGAAAACATTTCCAAAAAAAATTGCCAGAAT